TTTTCTCTATTTGTCTGCACAACTAGGTAATTTTGTTGATAATAGGTCATCATTCAGAGTTAAAACGAGAGCAGAAGTTTCCCGTTTTACACACCGAAACAACTTACTGTGCTTATTGAGATAACAATTATACATTTCCTGATTATAGGGTAGAAATATGAGACTGTATCTTTGTCACATCAAACCTCACACATCCTCAGCCGAGTTACTCATAACGCGCATCGTAAACTCAGTCTGATAATGAGAGACCTAATCCTGCATCAAAGATGCGTTTTTAATCTCCAGCGCCACGCTGGGTCGGTGGTGCGACGTGTAAACGCAGCAACATTGTGATTAAAGGCCGATGTGACAGCCTGAAGGCCCTGCATGCCGTATCTGTCTCTAGGCCTCATTAACATGCAATGGAGCTGTCACGGATGATCGGGAGGAGATTTTCTACAGTAGATAGGCAATGTTTCCTCAGGAGACCACACTGCTTGCTAATTTGGTTCACATGCGGATCTTTATTTTGTCGCCTTTCTATCCCTGGCTGCTGTGGGAACGACATCACTGCACAGCAGCACGATTAGAACTGAATACCTTTCTCTTACTTATAGCAAATATTTACATCCCCACCCTGTCCCACTATGCTACTGGTGAATGTAGGAAAACCCTCCTTGGGTCATTAGAATTCCCAGATTCCCAGAAAAGAAAAGGGCTACAGGGAATACCAGCCGTTTGTTGTCCAACATGGTGAGCAGGAGAGAGGTATGAAAAGGAGATCCTTTTAACTGACAGAAATGTCTGGTGTTGATTTATTTAGTCTGAGCCTGAAGTGTTTCCCAACAATATGACCGATGGAATGTTTAATGTGTTAAATAGTTAGGAATAAACTTTGCCCCAAACTGTGATTTTATTTATACTGAAGTCAATCAAGGCTTTATCACAGCAATAATTTTTTTTATTTCCAGTGTTGGTGTTCTATGTTTAATACGGAAGAGGATTAGGGCCACTGAAAAAAAAAAGTAAACTGATTTTTACATTTTATTTCAGTTTAACATGGGAAAAAAGTCAGAATTCTGAGAAAAAAGTCAGAATTCTGAGAAAAAAGTCAGAATTCTGACATTAAAGTCAGAATTCTGACTTTTTTCCCATACTATACTGGAATAAAATTAAAAAAAATCAGTTAACTTCTTTTTTTTTTTCCAGTGGCCCTAATCCTCTTCTGTAGTTTAAGGTATGGAGCTAATTTAACACTTAAATTTAGTCTAATTTAACTTTGCATTAGTTAGTTATTCCAAAGAGTTGGTATTAATTTGCAGAGTTAAATGCAACTACTTTTTTAAGTGTTAGTTTTATAATAAACAGTTGGCAGAGTTTCTTAGAGAATTACAGATATCTGGGAACTGTTTTCAGTTAAAATACAACATCAGTGAAATTAGGAGTTGTGATATAATCTGCAAAAGTTTTTCCTGCAACTTGAGGTTTGCAGTTTAGCATCCCAGCTCAGTCACTGTGACATAACTGGCTGTGGTGAAGCGTTGATGGTGTTCAGACGAGCCGCTACACTGGAAAAAAATTGAAATCTAGATAAGTTGTTTTTTTCTTAAAATAGGTGCATTTGTTCTTGGATTAAGGAAGTAAAGGTGACATCTTGCCAATGGAACAAGATAATTTACACTTAAAATAAGAAAACACAATTGCATTGTCTTATTTCAAGTGCATATTATCTAATTATCTTATTTTAAGAGTAAAAATTTCTATTCCATTGGCAAACTATCTCATTTACCTTCTCAAATTAAGTGTAAATACACTTAATTTAAGAAACCTTTAGTTATTTCTAGATCGTTTTTCCAGTGTAGTGCCTGCCTTGCTTCTCTTAGCAGAGGTTGGTAGTAACTAGTTACATTTACTCAGATACATATACTTGGGTAACTTTTTGTAAAAACAAAAATACTTTTAGGATTAGTTTTACAGCATAGTCATTTTTAATTTTACCTAAGTAAATATAGGATAAAGTATTGCTACTCTTATTTGCGTAAAGTTTCTAGCTACTCAATCCATTGTGACTGACTTCCTTTACCAAAATCAAGCTTTTTAAAACAAAAATGCACCATTGAGAGACACACTTTCTTACTTAAAGCTTATTGGTTAAATGTCTACTGACACTGCAGTGTCATTTGGAGGTTGATGTAAATTACAGTAAACTGTTTACTGTAATTTAACCCATTACATAATAACTGATTTCATATATTTTATAGCTCAAAGATTATTACATCTGTTCATGGGTAGTAAGTAGATCAGTCAATCTGTACTTGAGTAGCCTTTTTACCAAATACTTTTTTAATCTTGCTTGAGTAACTTCTTTAAAGACTACTTTTTACTTTTACTTAAGTAAAATGTTTGGGTACCATACCCACGTTTGGCTCTAGGGCAGCTGTGGCCACAATGTATCAGAGAGAATTGGATTCATTACCAGTTATGCAGATGATATTCAGCTTTTTGTCCATAATTCTGGATATGTGTTAACACTAACAACAATACAATAAGTATAACAAATATTCAACAAAAAAATATTTAGTGAAATAAAATACCTCTCCTTCAAAACTTTAGGTCAATTTTCTGCATACTCTTAAAGCGAAATATACAATTTGACATGATAATGCACTTGGCCTTATGGTCAGTTATAACTAACATATTCACTCAGCATGCTTTTATTCTGAAATATTAATATTGGTTGTGATTATTCGGAAATTTTGATCAGATTGTTTCCTAAACCGATTTACTTACCACAATTATTCTTTTGCTACAAATTATTTAATAGAAAATCGTTCTTTTTATACTAGTTGAAGTATTTATTTTATTACTTATGCCGTTTTAAATTGTAACTTGAAACCAGTTTTCTCAGTTGAGAAAAAAATTAAAAATTACATCAAACATTAAATGTTAGTAATACTAACTTTAAAAATGTTTAAAGTTGACAGATTCAAGTTCCAGTTTTGTACCAAATATTTTTCCTTTTTCCAGAATTCATATTTTTTCAAAGTGAATGGTATTGCGCTGTTCTGACTGCCATAAAAAAGTCATGTATGAATCGCATTTTCCTGTACATAGTCAAACTATGATAAACCAACCATGGCTAACTGCTAAAGTTGCTAATCTTATAGCCACCTAAACATGCATACACTGTCCAAATTCTCCTATGTACCCTAATTGGGTATAAAAAAAAGGTATTTGTTTGGGGTTTTTTCCTGCTAAAAAATAAATAAACATAAATTTAAACACAATTTGAAACTTTTACATATGTAAATTACCAGGTTATGATTCCTTTATTAAAACCAGGGTTGGTTAGCAGTTGTTCATTCTGGGTTAGCTGTGGTTTGCCGTTTAACACAGACAAGACAGACATATGCTGTTCCTGCTCCCCTCCCGTTGATGTAGAACAGTTTATTATGATAACAGGAAGGATCCCTAATTACTAAGTGAAAGTGGAGTTCAGAGCGGTCCATAAATAGCATCAGAAACTTGTTGCTGGTGGGAGTGCTCACATGTTTGCAGATGTTTGCCTCTGCTCTCTCATTTAGCTGGAGAGAACTTACCACAGGAGGACTTTTCATCTAACCTATAGTTCTCTCTTTCTCTGATTATGTCCTATTAATGAGTCACAAACTTTTTTCTTTTTCTTAACTAGAGGGTCCTCCTAGTGCATTGTTCTTAATTTCACGATTTTGTTAAGGGTATTATTAACTTGTGTAAAAGCAAATTAAAACCGAAAAAAATATAGCTTCAACAAAATTACAATATTATTATATAATTATCTTTATCAATTCAAATATGCCCTTTAAGAGTGATTTTCTGTCATGATCTGAGGTTAAATGTTTCTAGTATTAATTTTATGGGGTTAATTTGGAATCATAAAGTTTTGTCAAAAATATTGTTTATATAACTGGAAAAATAAAAAGATTTGAAAAGTATTTTTTCTGTTTCAGATTTGTTTTTTAGTTTGAGACTGCTGGTCCCTCCATGAGGAGGCGGGACTTAGATGACAGATTCCCTAGACTCCTGAACAAAATATTCCCAGGTGTTTTATTCAGGAACCATGAAAACTAGGAATGCATGTCATTTCTTATCCTAAACATAGAATATTGAGGTTGTTTTAAAGATATTTCTAGTTTCTATCTGAGAAAATTTATTTCAGGAACCTAAGCTGTTACTCATCATTCTATAACTCATGTCATAAAAGTCCAGCCGTCAAACTGGGGGGGCACTAGTTTAAATAAAAAAAAAATAAATAAACACAAAAAAACTTGAATATACAAAGCAGTTTTAAACATTTCTTTGCAGAAATCCTTTTGTTTTGTTTCTTAAGTTCAAATACGATTTAGTTTTATTTTCTAGTTTTAAAAGCAATGTTTTTGAATATACTTTATGACCCCAATTTAGCTCCATATAGTTTTGTTTTTTCTGAGTTTAGAGTGTTAGTTTAAGCTCCATATTACTCTGCATACTCAGACATCACAGCATCTTAAGCCATCTTAAAATGTGTCTCAAGACACATCTGTTGCAAAGTCTTGAGATGTCTTGGTAAATCAAGACGTGTCTATAGACATGCATCTCAAGATGTCTTGGAAATATTTCTATCTTTAGATGTCTTAATGTATAATGTCACTGTCCTCTATTCTTTGTTAATAGTTTATTATTTATCAACTGACTCAAAAGAGAATTATAAAACAAATGACGGACTCAGTATTTAAGAATAAAAATAGGAAAATAAAATTTCAATACAAGTTCTACTGTTTGGCTCTAGTTTTTCCATGAGGAACTTTGTGCTCTGGTCTCCTAGCCCAATTATTATTATTATTTTAATTTTTCCTTAAATCTTTTTTCACTTAATTATTTTTTCTGTTGTACTTTTTATTCATTTTTCTTCACTTTGCATCTCTCACATCAGTTCAGCTTATAGTTTTTTGCTGTATGTTTTATAGTTTAGCATCCGTTTACTAACAACAGTCTAAATTCACCTTAAGGCCAGTTTCTCCTGCAGGTCCTGGTTCACCCCTCTCTCCTGGAAGTCCCTGCAAAGAAGGAAGAGAGAAAATACTGTACGATCAAAGACTTTTTTTGCTTGTTTGTTTTTTTGTGAAGAACCTGTGTGATATAGTTTGTAAATTGATTTTTTATCTAAGAATCCTACAATGAAATACATAATTTTACTTTATAACTAATTTCAGTTTCATAAGAATTAACAGTGTTTAAAAACAAAAGCAGAAAGAGATTCCTGTAAAACATTTTCTTGCCTGCTACAGTCTCACCTGTGGTCCGGTTGGTCCAGGTTTTCCTTGCAGTCCTGGTTCCCCTTGATCTCCCTGGGCATAAAATAAAACAACTATTGTCAAAACTGTATTCAGATAATAAGTACAAATAAAACTGCATACTTAAGTACTTGCCTTGTCTCCTTTAACACCGGGCTCCCCTCTTAGTCCTTGGGGGCCTTCATCACCCTGCCCAACAGAGGAAAGGCTGGAGGTTAGATAGGCAGCAATACATTGGTGCTGGACTAGGTTTCAGCTCTAGTGTTTTCCTAACAAAGGTAAGCATTGATGTACTTATATGTCCCCAGTCAATTAGGACAAAGTTCATGTACAGAAGAAACAAGGAACTGTTGAATAGATGTAAAGTATTTTTTCCATTCATGAAATCCTTGACTTTTGATATTATTGCTAATGAATTTGTCAGGGTTTAGTCGTGGTTTGAGGACCCAAATGCAGAGGCAGAGAGGCTGAGGAGATTTCTTGCAGTTTAATGGGGCGAAAACAGTAACAAAGGCAGGAATGCAAAAATCAAACTAATAAAGAAAAGCAAACAAGAACTATGGAGACATCAGGGGAAACCAAACACAAGGAGCCAGGGAGAGACGAGGTAGGAGGACAACAGCATGAAAGGACAGCAAAGACAAGGAACCAACAAAGAGCGAGAGCAGAGGGAGAGCATATATAGCTGACAGAGACAAAGGGAGGGCTAACGAGCTGATAAGGAGCAGGTGTGAGAGGAGACAACGAGGTAGCCAGGGGGAAAGGAACACACACACACACACACACACACACACACACACACACACACACACAAGAGGGCAACAAAAAAACAGGAGAACATAAATCTAGAAATTACAACAAAACTGGAATTAAACCAATAAAACTAGAAAACAAGGAGCAAAGTAAAGTACAACAGAATCAAGACCATGACAGAATTACATAATTTTGACTTAATATAATTTAGGTGAGGTTTCCCAGTAAGTTTATTTTGTGTAATTATTTGAAGGAACTTAATTTCCTTCAATTGTTGCATCTCACAATTTCTTTTTATTCATATTTAGGATTATCATATTTTTAATCAAATAATTTCTTTATAATTGTTAATTGTTTTCCAACAACGTCTATTAATGCTCTTTGATTCTGACCATAACAGACTATGTCATCAGCGTTGAAAGTGAATGTAGCTTCTTTGAAGCAAAACATAAGTCAGTTTTATCCGGTAAGTTTTATTCTTGTTACGGCATCTGCCCCGCATGCAGCGTGATTGTACACATTGATTTTAATGATTTCTTCATTATGAAAATTCCAAAAATGTTCCCCGCCAGTCAAACTGGCCGGGCGAATATTAATACCTTTATCCCTGGGAATCCAGGAGGGCCAGGATCACCAGGTTTACCTTCTTTACCCTAAAAACAGACAAATGGATGCAGCTTTTATCACATGCAGTAACCTAAAGAATGGAAGAAGAGGTTAATTATAATAAACTAGAGTTGGTGAAAGCACTTACAGGCTTACCGTCAGGTCCTGGTGGTCCTTCTCTCCCTTTCTCTCCTCTGAAACCCTGCAGCATTAAAAATATTTTCACTATGGGCAGAAGCATCTTTAGATTTTTAGAGATACCATTAGCTTTTGTTTAGGAACATACCAATTGTTTTATCACTAACGTATCATTCAGTATGTATTGAATTCATTCATTTTCATTTTGAGATTGTTCTCCTTCCCAGTTTCTATTGGAGGAAGTCCTTTTTGAGTGTTTTCTTGCTACCACCATCATAGCATAATTATATAATTTTTGTTACATGTTTTAGACTTTTGTTAGAGAAGAATAGAATTCAACTTTATTGTCACTACACTTGGACAAGTACAAAGGATTGAAATGAGCTCTCTGCATTTAACGTCCTTGGGGAGCAGTTGGCTGACAATGTGTGTCGCCCCCCGGAGCAGTGTGGGGTTAAGAGTCTCTGCCCTAACCACTATGTTACCACACCTCTTGATACCTCATATTGAAATAATCTTCAACAGTTGAATCAATGAAACCTGTCGATAATGAAAATAAAGATCCTTGAGCTTAAAATAAATTCCACTTTTGGGTTTATTATGGTTCTGTTCTTGAATGCATTAAGTCCAATCTTAAAAGTTAATCTCCATTAAACACCCAACAGAAGCCTTTAAAAGCCTCTTAAAAGTAGTGGCCAGTATCTTTAACCACTTTCCTCTAGCCCTGACAAACCTTAAGTAATCTATCCTCATGCTGTACATCAATGAGGATGATTATTCTTATCCATATTCTAACAAAACTCTACTGGGACTTTTGAGTGAGACTGAATAAAACATTAGAACTTATACCATATTACAACTTGGAAAAGGTGCTCTATTATATATTCAACAATTACTTTAAGTTCTAACAAGGCTTTGATGAATAATATAGATTAGTCTATACAAGCAATTGTGAAAGCATAAGCGTAAGGCATCCTGAAATTACAGAGGGGTATCAGAACGTAGTTTCTTATAAAACGTTCTACATGGTCAAAGCTACAGACCTCCAGACCTCATATAGCCTTCAAATTAGCTCTGGAAAAGAGAAGTCATAGAATATTTCTTGGAGACAGGCTTGAAAAGTTCAGTTTGGGCAACTAGAAGTGAAGTTTTCTAGAAGTCTTGGATGACAGGCAAAATATCTGCTAGAAAATTTCACGCCCAGTTGCCTAAACTGAGCTTTCTAAGCCTGACTATGACCTGGATGATTGGGAATCTTCAAAGATGTTTATAGTGACAGGATCATCTTTCCGGGTAAGTTACGGTATGTTAAAGTGGACTATGGTTGTAGGCTGTTTTTTATGAGTTGGTCTCAGCTTCAATTCTCTCCATACCATCACTTTTTGAACAATTTCATTCTCCAAACCTTCTGACAGCAGTTTAGAAAGGTTCCATAAAGAGATGGATGAGTGAGCTGGAGGTAAAGAGCTTTTGACGGGGCTGCTCAGGTTCCTGACGTCAAACTGGGAGAAAACATTCGGGACAAACCACTGCAAAAAATGTAAATCTAAATAAGTCATTTTTTCTTAAAATAAGTGCATTTTATCCTGATTTGAGGAGATAAATGAGAGACTTTGCCAGTGGAACAAGACAATTTACATTTGAAATAAGAAAAATCAATTGCATTGTCTTATTTCAAGTGCATATTATCTAATTATCTTATTTTAAGTGTAAAAATACTCATCCCATTGGCAAACTATCTTATTTACCTACTCAAATTAAGTGTAAATACACTTGATTTAAGAAATTTTTACTTAATTTCAGATTGTTTTTGCAGTGAAGGCCTTGTCCAACCTCGTTTTAAAAACATTAGACATCTGATTCTACCTGACCATGGTGTTCTAATTTCAGCAGGAAGGAGCACAATAACCTAAACATCAGATTTGAACAAGACAAACTGTCTAAAAGCTTTAAGATGTTTCTCTAATCATGTTCACATGTAAATATCCATACGTTGAAATATGTGTGATAAAAACAGGTTTCTTGGCACGTCCTAATTTTTCACATATGTATTCAATATTTAAAATATAAACGGAGAAAACTCATCTTCTTCTTTTAAACACTTAGATGTCGGCAGCTCTTTCTTTCACTGAATGAATAAATAGTCATCAGAGGGGAGTCATTACAAGCAACCTTCATCATAGGTCATTAGTGGAAAGCAGTACGTCTCGATGTTTAGTTTTTTTTTTATTCTGCCACATCAAATTCTCCCAAATAGCGATTGCGCATTTCCTAGTTCTCTGTTTTCCATATGCTGTGGTCTATTCCTGCCGTTTGCCATATAGCACACACAACATAAGAATTAGCATCCGCCGACAACATGGTATATGATGTGGGGAGACTTATTGTTCAATCAGAGGTGGACATAAAACAGGACTGTCGGTGCCTAATGTCTTTATTTTTACAGCCAAAACATTCACATGCAAAAATTTAGATAATTATAAAGGTAATGTCAGGTCATTCATCAAACCTCTTTGTATTGGTTTGTCTATTACCATGCGCCCTGGTGGGCCACGCTGCCCCGGTGGGCCAAGTGCACAGTTGCAATCTTCTTCCTCGTCTTGTTCTGCTGTGGCTGTTCGATTCAGCGGACACTTTGGGGGAAAAGGAAAGATAATGTAAAGATAAATCAATCATATGAGCTAAAATTAGCCGTCAAGAAGCTTCTGGCATGATTCTGACTGGATATTTCTTATATTTCTTCTCATCTTTTACAATCCTTTGATCCATTGATTATTTCTCTAGCTCAAACCCTGCATTTAAACTCACTGATTGAGCAACAGAGTCCAGGTTTGATCCATTGAATTGCAATTTGAGGGGATTTTGATAAGGAAACTTCCTGTGGAACCAGTTCAAGAGGTTAAGTAGAGTTAGTCGGCTTTAGTCTTGCCCAAACACCCTTTAGCCCGCTCAACACCAGCCGTTGGGCCAAATGGATATGATTAGATAATATTTTCCATCCCCAAAATCTGTCGGTTATGCTAGGATGTCAGACCTGGTTTACATTTTGACAGTAGCTGTATAACCAGGGCAGTCAATTTTTAAGACATACTGACCAAATTAAATATAATAGACTGGTAAAAAGTTAGTGTGCTAAAAAAGCTCCATTGAGTTAGCGTCCATCAGTTTTTGGTTATCTGGTTCGGCATGATGGACAACTGCTAGGTTAGTGGGTAGCATCAAAGGGCAAGCTGTTGGTACTTGGGACTACTGTTTGCCAATCTAGGCTAGGCAAGGTAAGACAAGGCAAGGCGGGTCTATATTTAGTACAAAGACAATTGAAAGAGCTTTTCAGAAATTAAACAATAGAATAAAAGTAAAATAAAAGAATAAAGGCAAGCAAAGATAAAAACAGGTAGTAAAGCAAATAAAACAGTTGGACAAAAACCTTAACAGTTAACAGTTTGGGTTTAATAGCGAAAGACAGTTTTAAACAAATGGCTTTTTAACTTTGACTTAAAAGCACTTTTACAGTCTTTAGTGTAGTAATTAATCACTGTGTCAAAATATGTAGAGTTGTCTTACATAGAATGGCGGCTAACCACTAAGGCAGGCAGGGCAGTGAGTTGGTTGGTTAAACCAAGGCAGGTGGTGTGATATTTCGTTTGCTAATGCAGCCACTAAGGCAAATGGTGTAGAAGTTGGTATACCACATTGTTTAAATGCTAAGGAACATAATGTAGCATGTTGGTTAATGCAAGGATTATCTTAACCTTTACTTTAAACACTGAGGATATTGGTGTAGATTCTTGGATAAAATAGATTCAGGGTAAAGATCCCAAAAACTACATCAAAATAAATGTGATGGAATAAAAAATCTGTGGATCAGGCTTAAAATTCAGGTTTAGGTAATGAAATCAAATTGTCCTGCAAGCGATGTGACCAAATATGCAGCCAGATTTCTGCCAGAAGCTTTTTCATAGCAACAAAATACATGTATTGTTCAATCAGAGCAAGGTCTGGGTTTGTACATGGAGTAAAATAATTAAGTTATTGCATGAGTTTCCCCATGTGTGCATAAACTACAGCCATAACCCAAAGAGCCATGAAAGAAGTCCAACACATTTCGGCTTTGTGGTTCTGGTAAAAACAATTCTCTAATAAAGTTATACAAATATATTGGGTCCAATAGACCGAAATGGTTGAGATGAAAATTTGAGGCTTCGGAACAGAAATTAACAAACCAATAAGTGATGTCACAGTCGAAGCATGCAAGCTCAGTTATGAAGGAAAGACCAATTAAAATGTACAAAATAAGGGAGAAAAAAAAAATCTTACCCTTTCATCATCCTATGAATAAGGAGAAAAAGAGGGAAAATATTTTAATGATTCAAAGCTTGAGCATGGAAAGCACATATTTATTTTAGAGTGAAACAACAGCAGACAGCTCACCACTGAGTATATTTCACATGCTGTTTCTCTCTCACTTTGATACGGGTCACAGTACAAACGCATTTTCTGGATCTCCACCTGCATCCAAAGAACACTGGAGCTTTATTCACATAGAATATTTGCCAAGTCAATGTGAAAAATAGACGGTTAACATAGCAGAATATTAAGTGTTTGTCCTTAAGGGTTTTTAAATTTTGTAAATTTCAGTCCCTTAGATAGAAAAGTATCTCCACAGCAGGATGCTGCCCAGATCATGGGCAAAGCCGTAATAATAAAAAATGACCCGTCAACCACGGTATTTTAAGAGCAATAAATGATTACCTAACATTAACTAATATTATCCATTTCAAGACAAGAGTAAACTAGCCTACAGCTTTCTTTCCTCTTTTACATTCTCTTGTATCATACTTGTTTTTTTGTTTGTTTTTTTGTTTTCCTCCACAAAAAAGGTAGCAAACAAACAAAATTAGAGATATATGGCATCACACAGGTGAATTTCTAGATGAACATTTACATTACGGATGCTGACATCATCGTGTCCTGCAGCAAAACTGTCTCCCCTTACCTCTTCCTTCTCTGCAGACTATAAAGTATGTATATTATTTTACTTAATCGATTGTGAGTAATGATGTGTACACTGCAAAAAATAAAATATAGGTCAATGTTTTTTTTAAGGGTGTATTTTCTCTTGTATTCAAAGGTAACTTGACCACTTTTTATATAGTTGATCGGCCAATCAGATCTCTATGTTTCCTCCATCTGTTTTTCTGAAGACAGTTTATAAAAGAAGCTGTAGAAAATATAAGGTGATTATAAAAAGAGTAATAATAAAACAACTGTAACTCTCAACCAAACTGATGGTTAAATTGATTTAAAAAATTTGATTAAAACAGTAAATTTTTGTGTTGTTTCACATGTTTTGTTTATTTAATAATTTAGGCGCAAGATTGATTTTTTTAACCAAAAAGATGTCGTTGGGATTAATTAAATACAGACTGTAATTACTTTAATGTATTTTTTTATGATACAATAATGAAGGAGAGGCACACATACAGATCTGTATAGTGATAAAAATCCATCTATGACATGTAAAATAATAAGTCTACATATATATATATATATATATATATATATATATATTTTATTTTTATTTTTTTTTACTTATTAATAAAAATAAATAAATAAAAGAAACTAATAAAGCTGCTTACATACCGGCACGGTGACATGTGCCCCCCGCCTCTTTGACACCTGTGTCTTCCCGTTTATGTAAATGGACTCCACAGGCTTCAGCAGGAAGTCTTGGACCATTTGATCGTCGAGGTAACCGACGACCCGCTGTGGCCTCACCAGAAGCTTCAGCTGATGCCATTTCCCGTCATACAGATCCTGTGAAAGGACAAGAATGAGACAAATGTCTCCATTATTCCCTGATTATCCTTAATGGTCCATTAAAGGTGTTGACCGTCTGCTCGTTCACTGCTCGTCTGATGTGGAAACAATCATCCTGCATGTTCATTTTCTCGGTCTTCCTTCTGTTGTTGTTGGCTGTATGCACGTGTTTCATCTTTGTTTACAAGTCCACCAATGTGTGTTTTCCCAAAATGAGCTGCAAATCATTTTAACCAGTGAGCCATTAGGACCAAAACCTTCTTCTATTTTCCATCACAAACCTCTTCCTGAAACATAGAGAGGGAGGAGGAAACACAGCCGCCGCTGTTTGGTTTGGATTAGACCATCATTTCCAAATGACAGGCTTATGCATGGTGTCACGTCAAGCAGGGTTTGATCAAACATGTTTAAATACAAATTCCACATGAGTGCTGCCCTGTTCCTCACAGTGGACAGTTAGGGCTGCATTTAGGGGGAAAAAATCGACTTGGCAAGTGCAACAGGCGTTTTTACTCCGTGCTGCCATCAAAACAGAGCTGCGCTCCAACAGCTACACTTCTGCAGACCCGTTTCCACCGTGGAGGTGGTTGAGAAGAAGAATTTTCTTTGAGCATCTTCCTGACTTCTGTCACATTCCACCTTCACGGCCTTGACAGAGAATTGAACATGACAGGACAATATGTCTAACCAGCTGCTATTTTTACATCTGCAGCGGTTACATTCAGAGCGGAGACTTAATATTGGAGAAATAATGTATGACATTATACAACATTAGCCGCCGTAGATGTTTACATTTTTCAGAATCTGCATTTTGTTTTTAAATGTGTCTCTTCTCTGCAGCTAAGTCAGGGCCATAAGGTTTGTTTCAAAACATTGCTTTTAAACTGAAAATAATGTAAGAAATGTTTAAAGCTATACTTTTGAAATTCATTTTTTTTCCTTTTTTAGGCTGGTCCCCCCTCAGTTTTGGGGGTGGGACTAATGATGACTGACAGTTTAACAAAAATATTTATTTCAGTTTTGAATCTTTGCAAAAATATCTTCTGGTTTCATATATTTATGTATTTTGTTTTAAGATATGTTTCAGTTTTTTTCCAGTTTAAAAAAAGGTTTCAGTCTAATGCCTAATGAATATATCTGCTGATTATTTATTAATTTGCCTATCAGATCCAGTTGCATCAGTCGAAAACTCCTGAGCTGCATTAATTCTTTCAGTAAATTGTGAGGATAAACAATCAACTGCAATAAAAGTGAATTCATGCCCCTGCAGGCGCCATGTGCTCAGTTTTCTAAAAATCTTTACCGTTCATGATAGTCACACCCATGTTACTTATCCTTATATTTTGATCAAACTTAATTTCCGGGACATGCATTAAAGATTAAATGGTGATGTTAGGCATTTGTTGCTCTTTTCATTAATATGTTGTGTAAATGCTGTGAAGATGGTTGTGCTTCTAAGGCTCTTTTATCTCTCTTAGAATCTGCCACTATTTCAACCATCTTCTTTTTTTTTTTAAGAATTCACTGGAAAAAATGGAAATCTAGACAAGTAATTTCTATCTTAAAATAAGTGCATTTGTTCTTGGATTGAGGAGGTCAAAGAGACATTTTGCCAATGGAACAAGACAATTTACATTTAGAATAAGAAAATACTATTTCATTGTCTCATTTCAAGTGCTTTTTATCTAATTATCTTATGTTAAGTGTAAAAATACTCATTCCATTGGCAAACTATCTCATTTACCTACTCAGATTAAGGGTAAATACACTTAATTTAAGGAAACTTTAACTTATTTTTAGATCATTTTTCCAGTGTTGGACTCATTAATACATTAATTTATTTGGGTTAATAAATCTCCTTGTTTTTCAAAATCCATCCATCCATTTTCTGTCACGCTTAGGGTTTGCGAGGGGTGCTGGTGCCTATCTCCAGCTGTCAATGGGCGATAGGCGGGGTCCACCCTGGACAGGCCGCCAGTCGCAACACAGATACAAACAGGACAAACAACCATTCACACACACACCTAAGGAGAATTTAGAGAAGACAATTAACCTAACAGTCCTGTTTTTGGACTGTGAGAGGAAGCAGGAGTACCTGGAGAGAACCCACGCATGATCAGGGAGAACATGCAAACTACATGCAGGAATCGAAACTCGGGGTGCTGCAAGGCAGCAGTGCTACCAACTGCACCACTGTGGGGTAATTGTAATTTTATTAAGGATCCCCATTAGCTGTTGCCATGGCTAACAGCTAGTCTTCCTGGGGTCCACATTAAAAACATACAGTAAAAACAGTTACAAATATAGAAATTTCCAAAAATGTAATTTCTTAAAATTACTATAGGAAGTACAAAAGAAAAGTGTGGTCTATGTCAAAATTACAATTGGAACAGGATGTAGCTGGTGAAGACTTTGGTCTTCTGGTATTTAAACACTATTATTGGGCTGCAAACTTGAGAGCACCTGTTTTTATGACAGCAGGGCTTTCTTGATATTAACTGGCCTGATACAGTAAATGCCCACTATGGTGAAAAGTGGAAGCCAAATCAATCTTTGGAACATCTCTCCCAGCACTCCTCACTGCAAAAAATTTAGATCTAGATCAGTCATTTTTTTCCTAAGACAAGTGCATTTGTTCTCTAATTGAGGAGGTTATTGAGACACTTTGACAATGGACCAAGATAATTTACATTTAAAATAGAAAGAACAATTGCATTGTCTTATTTCAAGCACATATAATATAATTAGCTTATTTTAAGAGTAAAAATACTCATTCCATTGGCAAATCGTCTTATTTACCTACTCAAATTAAGGGTAAATACACTTAACCCTTTAAAGCCCGATCCAAGAATAAAACAAAACAGAAAATTACTTTTTTTTGGTTTGAATTCCTTATTTGGCCTTTTAACAAAATATGTAAAAAGAAAAAACAGAAATACATTTTTCATATTAATAATTTATTACTATGCGATAAGTCAAGATTATTTTTTGTGTAGTCTTCTGCCCTCTGTTATCAGGTATATCTGATTGTATACAATAGGATTTTGAGCAAAGTTTTTACCATTAAATTATGCAAAAGGTGTCAGACGCAAAACGATACGATACATTTGGCATTACAGGGTTAATTTATGTAATTTTTACTTATCTCTAGATTGTTTTTTTGTAGTGCTGTTTTCATCCACTAGGCTCCAGGTCTGCCTCACTTGATTGCGGCATTATTGTAAAACTTATCTCAGAATTCTTGATAAAATTTACAAATTATTCAGCATACACACCAATAGCATATAATCATCAGTTTAAACCAGGATTAATGGTCCTCCGCTGTGTTAAGGATCTTTATATCTGCAATAAATGTGCTTTATTTCTTAAGTTTCAAATTAAATATGATTTTCTACATTCACATTTACAGGTCGGATACTTTGTTAGGGAGTCACAAGACAGGGATAGAGGAATATTAATCGACCTTAGAATCCCACTGCTTTTTTTGGCATGACTCAATGCAATGGTGCCTGAGATCCCACGTCACTACTGTAGCGGCTAAAAGATGTTCTTTCCAAAATATGTATCGAGGATTTCCATGATGTGATGATGATAAGTACAGGTGTGAAATTTTCCAAGTACTAAATGTCGATTGGTAAAATATTTGTGGTTAATAGTTAGTAGAACAAAACTTTTACTTTTTATTTCACAAAAATTTAATTTGTCTTTCTGGTGCTAAGTGGTTTTTAACTTCCTGCAAACTTGATGTTCCTTTTACATTAGCATAGGTATTAAGCTTCAGTTAATATCTATTGGTTGAAGTTTGTAGGATTTCCAGTGAAAATCCTAATAGTTCAATATACCAACATATTGAGGTTAATTCAATGTTTCCAACTTCATAAGATCTCCTCTTTATTTTCCAACAAAACTGATCAATGAAAAAAGTCCATAAAAACAAAACTTGAAAAGGTTTTGTGAAAAACTTGACTGGTCTGCAGAGATGACTGCCAACCTTAACCCTGCGTAAAAACCTTCCCAGAAGACTAGAAGCAGTTATAGTTGCAATTGGTGGGTCGGATAATTAAGAGGACGCCAATTAAGTTCACATCCATGTGCTGCCAAATAAACAACTTTGGGCTATTGGGAACATTTGGTTTCCCTGTACCAGGTGCTTAGCTAGCTGACTCAGAGCATGCTGTATTTTTGCTTTGCCAAAACTACAAACTCTGCAAGTTTTAGATCTGATAAAACAAGTCAGGGATATTGTTTCATTCCCCAAACAAATTAACACAGCAGGAAGTCATTTCCTGGAGATTTTCGAACACCCAAGGTTGTCCGGGCAGAACGTAGCGCTAATTGGAACTTAAATGCTGGTTGTTTAAACACCCTTGTATGACTGCACAAATTAAACCCCCAGTAACAATGGTAGATTTGGATTAAATGATTAGTACACAAGTGTACAAGAGCTATGGACACAGAGATTGTGTCATAAGTCCAGCAACACTATCAGATTCTGTTTTGCAAAACAAACAATTTACATGGCAAGAGCTCCAAACCCAATTATGAGAAATTAAAGGGTAATTTGGATAAGAGGTAAGACGTCTTTGTGGAACAAGAAAGGTTAACTGGCCTTCTAGTTAATGACTATTACACCCACTTACTATTGAGCCTGATGCTTATCAAAAAACAGTTTATTCATTGCTCTGAGATTAACAAATAACCATGAAGTTCCTTTATGCAGCTGTGATTGTGAAGCTAGTGGTGTAGCTGGATTCACCTAGCCTGGGTAGGCAGACTGACTTAAGGGCTGGTTATATTGAAGTGTGGTCTGTTCTATGTTATTCCACGCCACAACACCAGAGGGCCAATCAGGAACTAGCTGTGGGTCTAGATACAGCCAAGGCGGTGAGGAAGTGGGGGCAAGTTTGTGCGGCAACGGAGGTACATGAGGGCCAAAAAGAGCGGGGATCCAGGTGGAAAAAGGGTCCCAGCGTTCTCGGCTGCCTCGTTCTTCTAGCTGCTCCATCTTCACGAGTCGTTTTCCCACAATGGCGGTCAAAACAAAACAAGCCGGTAAGGTACCAAACAGGAAATACGGATAGAGTAGAGTAGATGTAGATTTGACCAATCAGAGGCCTCCTGTCTGCGGCAGAGTGTCTGCGGTAGGGGCAGGAGCACATCTGCGTTACCCCTAGCTCCAGAATTTTCCCAGTGGTCCTATTTTGTGACGGTCAAGACTGCAACCAAGCTTTGTAATGTCCCAGATGAGGTGGATTTAAAGCTATAAAAAATTGACTGCTGCAAAAGCTTTTCTTTTATCCGTTACATTCAAAGTTAGTTGATTGGTTCTCAACCGTTTCCATTGACTGTTAGTCCCACCATTAAAATCCGACTTTATCCGTTCCCTTCCAGGCATTTCCTCTATTTCTAACAATATTTGACCGAGGTCTTCTACAAACAACACCATGGCTTGTTTGTAAAGCAAACAAGCAATGAACTTGTGGTTCATCTTCCCAAAGCTTGACATTGGAAGGTTGTAAAGTGTGGCTGCTCGGCTTGTGGGATATAAAGATGTTCTAAAGATGTGATGTTATTTGACAGTGCTGTAAATACAAACACTCTTTCACTAGAGAGAAGTACTAAATAACATTTTCACCTTAATATTTCCTTTTCTAAGTCCCTGTGATGTGATTTGTGTGTTTATGTGACCTTTGAGGGGTCTATCGTCCCCCCCCCCCAGTGTCTCTGGCTGGAAAACAGTATTAGCAGCTTTGTATGCCACTGACCCAGTGGTAGTCTAATGGCTCTTTTCTGGCAGTAGGATGAACAGTTTTATGGCAACCCAAAGTGGCTATTGGCATAACAGCCACAAGTCCTTTGCTGGCCTACTCATAGATAATATTATGATTTTGGAGGTTAGAATTCTTTTTCTGGAGAGCAGAGGAGGAGAAAACATGAATCGTATCAGGACAGGGCTCAAACAAGGGGGAATTTGGGCTGTCTTACACTTATTGAGGGATGGCACTAGCAGTTATTTAGGATTTGCTCATCATACTTGGCTAAGTTTTTACCCCAAATGTTGCTGCAAATGAGATCAGTTACTTAAATCTCAATCCGCAATCAATACTACCCACTGCATCAGATATTTTATAGTGAAATGTGTCTCCCTGCAGCTTTGGGAGAGACAATTAAAACTAGTGTCACAGAAAGCCTCTCAGTTGGTTTAATCTACCACACTGCAGGTATAGAGGTAGAGTAGATGTTGTAGACTTAGTAATAAAATCTTTAAGTCATTTTTTCTGGACTTGAGATTTGACTTGCAATGAAAAAATTAATTCTAACCAAGTCATTATATCTTAAAATAAGTGTTTTTTTCCCCTAGAATTTCAGGAGGTAAATGAGACACTTTGCAGATGGACCAAGACAATAAAATTTTAAAATAAGAAAAAAACATTTGCTTTGTTTTATTTCAAGTGCATATTATCTAATTATCTTATTTTAAGAGGCAGATCATCTTATTTATCTACTCAAATTAAGGGGAAATACACTTAATTTGACAAATTTAGATCAATTTACTTTCCTCTGACCTGCACTGGAAAAACAATCTAGAAATGAGTAAAAATTACTTGTATTTACCCTTAATATGAGTTGGTAAATGAGATAAAAAAAGATATTTAGATACAATGCACTTAAAATAATACAATGAAACTGTGTTTTCTTATTTTAAATGTTAATTGTCTTGCTCCACTGGCAAAACGTCTCTTTTATTTTCTCAATTCAAGAACAAATGCAATTATTTTATGAAAAAATTATTCATCTAAATTTCGATTTTTTTTTCCAGTGTGGTTTTGCCTCTCAAAGAATGTGACTTGGTAAAATATTACAAACATTTCCATTTGTGGCACTATAGATGATCTGATTACATTTTATAAACATATCGCTTTGTTGCTGTGAAAGAGACACTTAATGATATCCAGTCACTCCTTCATGGTGCTGAACTTCCTGCTTCTAAGTTCTTACCTACCGGTCTTCACACTAACCTTAAAGCCTGTTTTGAAGACGACTCTTTGCTCTTTTCCGCTCACGCTGGTGGTAACGAAGATGACAGACTGGTCTTTTCCATTTAGTGTTACTGCAGCCTGGATTTCCTTACTCTTTGCCAAAATCCTCCATAGGTCAAATATTAATTTGCTTGAGGTCCCCTTCAGACGTATAGTGGCAACAAACACATACGATGGAGGAAGACCTTCTGGGAATATATCTCTGTTTAAAAAATGGAGCAAAAGTGTTAAAACTCTTACATGATAATTCTTCATTGTTATTAAATGAGCAGACCATTTAGACAGTTTCGTACCTGGTGTTCTCAGTAATGTCTGTGGAGGTAGTTAGAGCGTAGGCTGTCTCAGAAACAAGAGAGCCGGCGATCTTCTTGGCTTTCTTCTGAATGTTCATGCCCAGCAGCAGCTCAAAGCCCTTCTCATCACGAGATGCGACTGGGATTCTTGTGGGGCAAACAGATTCTGAATAGAAAGGACATGAAGTAATCCATATATTCAGCACCTCATAATATGCCATAATAGTTGCAACCACACGTCAAGACTCAAGTTCTTAACTTATTTACAATCCTAACTTTGTTTTAACCCATGATTTAGAACTTACAGTAGGGTAAAAAATCATCAAATGTCAAATAATACATGCAAGTTAAGCTTTTTAGGCTTGATAGTTTAACCTAACAGTCCCAAATTGTCTGACTGTTCACTATGTTACAGTTTATTTCATTTTATTTTTTTCAGTTTTGTTTACTTTTAGAACAATGCTAAATAGATTTGTCCAAACAAAGGAATTTATTAAATCAACTTCTTTGGAATGTATTAATTAACCAACAGGAAAGTGTAACATCTATAGAAACCTTTTTATTTTACTTAATGTTTTCTTATTTTCTGCATCCAATTAGCATTAGTTTCTATGTTAAATCAATTGAATTGCTTAATTAAAATGGTTAATAATGTTAATACACTAAAGAAGTTAATTAGGGAATCAAATAATTATATTTTTATCTTAAACAACCAAAAGATGTAAAAACAGTAATATTTTGACGTGTCACTACTGTCAACATTACTATCATCTACTGACCTAGATTCAAAATTAGTCTTTTTAATTTTTTTATTCTGCATTGTTATCTGGAGAGAAGGATGTTTGTTGAAAATGTTGAAATAGTGATGCTGATTAAATAAATGGCCTTAAATTCTTATAAATATCAATATCTAAAATGCTAATGATATATCATGAGAATAAAAAGCTTTAAAATGCTTTAAAATGTATTGTAACCTTCACACAGTTTCTGCTCCATGGAGTCTCTGAGGCGGTCGATAGTGGTGTAATCCTCAGCATAGAGGACATACGTAGACGACGGCTTATTGGCGATAGATATCAGTTCTGAGGTGGTGATCTCACTCCCAACTCCGACAGCAAATACGGTAATACCCTGAGCTCGTGCCTCCATACTTGCATCCACCTGAGGAACAAATACAACTTTAGGTGTAAAAGTTCTGTTTGATCATCCTTTAGTTTTATTGCTATAGTTAGTTCATAGAACCATCTTGGGATAACTTTTTAGGCAATGTTGCACAGCTACTATTATACAGGCCGACTCACAGAAACATGAGTGAATAAAAACTAAGTGGAGACAAAGGCAGCGCTGAATTTACCACATCATCCTGTGATTTGCCGTCGGTGACAACCACTGCGATTCTGTTCTTGACTTGGCTGGCCCGCTGGGAGGCTGGGAATACGTGGTCCACAGCAAACTTGATGGCCCTGCCAGTCTGCATACAAAAATCAGGAAATATTGTTAAAGTGACTTACTTTGTAAAAGAAAACACTACATTTTAACTTTTTCATAGCTTGAAACATTACAAACAGTGCATTTTAAACAATATGATGTGCAGGGAAAGGTAATTTGTGACATCACATCAGGTGGCAAATGTTTTTGTCAGATATTAGTGGGTTTATTTCATGTGTTTACCAGTTCATTAGTGCATTCAGCAGCCATGCCTTGACATATTATAAAGCAAATCCATTGTAAATCCCACTATTTGTTATCCACTGTTAATGCATAGTTAGATTTTTTAATAAATAGTTCCTTTGTAGTTGAATAAAGATTTATCGTTGTCATTTTTTTAAGAATTGAGCCAAAAACATTGCCAGCACTCGATGGGGATTAATTAAACAGGTATCAAAATAATCTATATCAACATCATGGTTCTCCCCTTTTGGGACTCATCTTTAGTTTTCATCAGCCCATCCTTTGTTCTGTTCCCCATATATACTCCACCTCTGCAGTCACTCAGTGCTGGTTCCTTCTTGTTGTTAGTTGCTTCCTCTTCTCTGGCTCCTCACCTGAGTTTTCCCTGATGCTTTGTGGTTAATTGGTTCTTTGTATTTTGCATTTTTGAATGTCTGCCTCAGTTTTTTATTAAATCAACAAGAACTCATCTCTGCTCAAATCTCCTATTTGCAACACATCAGCCTTAAAAAAAAAAAAACATCAGTTACAGACGATCTTTGAAATAACATAATATGGTTTTTAGTTAGTTTTTTTTTGTTCATTAAGTTCTTAAAGGTGTGGAACACAATTACCGGTATGCCCATGTATTTGACACCAGGAAAGCTTTCCTTCAAAAGCCACTTTTTTAGGAAAAATCTGTGCGTTTTTTTAAAATCTCACTTTAACTTCAGCTCTTCTGTAAAGGCCTCAATAAAAAATTTTTTTTTACTGAACAGCTTCACCAAAGACACAGCGTACTTCTCCATCAACCTCAACGGACAGGTTTGGTACCAAGATCCTTAATAAGAGAAGAACTCTGGAGGCCTGTGGGACAGTTGATTTTTAAAACAAAGCAGCAGTACTATCCTGCAGCCATGTTTCAGTGAAACACATAATACTACATCCAATATATATTCTGGCTGAATCCTTGCTAGGGCTTTGAGTGCTTCTTACTAGTTTCCTAAAGATCTCATATTCCCACAGGATTGATGGAAGTGATGGTTTGTATTTCTTATCCACTCTCTTCTCCTTTCTCGTGTTCTGAATCCTCTGTCCCTCCTTAGCAACTCAGCTGAGACTTGCAGAAGTAATTGAAGCATTATTTCAGCTTTTTAAATGATGGGAGCTAATGAGTTAATGATTAAACTTTGGTTTGCAAATCATGAGAAAATGTCCAAACAAAATAAAATGATCATCAAAAACCTTTCAGCTGCGAAGCAAATTAAACCAGAGCTAAAAATAAGCAATAAAAAAAGGAAACTTTAATCTACAAGCAAAGGAAATGAAGTTCTCTCAAAAAAGAAAATCAGAATTAAGCTAGAAGAGCTACTTCTCTATGCAGCCAATTAAAGCTGTGCAATTCTAGTGCAATAATTTCAAAATTGATTAGTGATTGCATAACTAACAGATTAATTATGTAATCACTTAATTAGGCCTTTATGAATGAGGGGTGAAGAAGAAATCCATCACTGAAAGAAATCCTTTTTTTTCTATTCTATTCTATTCTATTCTATTCTATTCTATTCTATTATATTATATTATATTATATTATATTATATTATATTATATTATATTATATTATATTATATTATATTATATTATATTATATATTATATTATATTATATACTTCCTTGTCTTTCTAAGAAAAACACTACAAAGGACAGGTTATTGGATCAATGGAGGGAGAAACAAGCCTTCTAGCTTACCTGTGTGTTTCCTCCCATGTAGTTAATGCTGCGAATGGCCTGGATGAGCTGGGCTCCGCTGGAGTGACTCCCTAGGGGGATCTCCAACCGAGGTGTGTCGCTGTACTGAACCACACCCACCTACAGCACGGAACACATCAAATTATTTCAATTCAAAGCATCTTGTTTTCAAATTTTGCACTTCAGTTTGGTAGAAGCATAGTCAAGATCTTGTTTCGTCTCAAATGAGTCTCAATTTTTTGTTGTTAAATTCTCACAGCTCATCAGATTGTATTGCTGCAAAGCAAAAATATGTCAAACAATTACATGATTTAGTTTCCATATCTAATAAAATGGGACTAGCTTTACCTGCGTATAGTAAAGGCTGATATCAAACTGGCTGCTGATGTTGATTAGCCATTGCTTGGCTGTGTCAAAGTCCTCCATGCCAACACTCCAAGAACCATCGACAATATACACCAGGTCATTTACTGCTGTGCTGCACCCTGAGGACACAGAGAAGGACATACAAAAAAGAAAAATCTATCAAATTAAGCAAACGCTTCATTTAACAAATCTCCAGTGTGTTTCAGTTTCTCTAACTGCAGGGTGTAACAGCTTCCTGCCATACCTGCTCGGACATCTTCATCCTCCACAGCGTCCACTGTGGTCAGAAGTAACAAAAAACTCCATACTGACCACAGCAACATGCTTCTGTGGATAAGTGTCCGTCCTCTGCTAAGTCCAACCTGGTTTAAAAGAGGATGAAATCATTTTCTTTTAGTGTATTCAGTTTATTTATATATCTCTAAATCACAACACATTTGATCTCAAGTACTTTACAGAGACAAATCAATCAGGTCCTCGCTTCTGATTGGTTAAGTTTTCTATTCTAGGAAAACTAGTTGATAGCATCCAGTCATTGACTTGCAGGAGACGCTCCTTCTGGATGAGCATGTGTCGACAGTAGATTATCGCTTGTATTTTGTCATTAACTCATCAGCAATCCATTAACCCCAGCATACATGCGGATACAGTGGAGAGGAAAAACTCCCTTTGAACAGGAAGAAACTTCCAGCAGAACCAGGCTCAGTGTGAGCGGCCATCTGCTGAGGCCAACTGGGGTTAAAGGAGTCAGAAGCAGACATACAAGATGAACAAAAAATAAGAAACAATCTATAAATACTTTCTATGTTAGAAAAGTATCAGTAAACTAGCTCAGTGGGTGGCTCTGTGTGAGGAAGAAGTGGCCAGGTGGATGAGCTCTGAGCCATTTTTATGTCAAAGGAATAAAAGAAAGCACGGGTAGTTCTAGACAGGGTTCAGCACCCCTATAACACAAGTCCTGGCCCATGCTAAGGCCCCTTTACTGAAAACATACACTGTAAAAATTGAAATTCAAGTATTTCTAATTTTAGTATAATTAAGTGTATTTTCCCTTGATTTGGGCAGTTAGTTAAAAAATGTTTTCCTGTAGAATAAGATGACTTTAGCTTAACAAAAGGCACAAAAGAAACATTATCGAATTTCAAGACCATCATATCTACTTATCTTATCATAAGGTAAAAGATGATGATTCCTTTGGCAGAAGATCTTATTTAAAGTCTGGAATTAAGAGAAAATGCACTTCCCTAAGAAATTTTTACTTATTTACACCGGTTTTTGCAGTGTAACTCTAGGCAGAATCTTATAGTATGTGCTGCGACAACAGAGACTGTTACTCAATTCAATATTTTGCCTCAAGTACCTAATTTAACAATTATTTAGAAATTACAGTCAGCTGTATTAAGATGGGATCACAGTTTTCACATGTAATTCAGGGATTTGCAACCTTTTTTGCTCCTATATTTTACTAAACCATGTGCTCTTGGTCTGTGTTTGTTACGCCTTTGTCCTGTACCCCGATAAAATACACACCGGTCCCACCTCGGCCCCTTTGTAAATTTCATCCAGAACTGCCAGAGCATACAGTTATTCACAGTAAAGGTTTAGTCCATGGTAAATGGCATGAATGTATTACCCTTTTTCAAGTCAGGAAACTTGACCAAATTTCTGTACACTACATTCAGTATTTTCATCCATTTACCCTCACACTGAGGGTTGCAAGTTCCATTGTAGCCACAGATACGTTGGGGCTCACTGACAGAAGCGAGGCTGCCACACACAGGTGCTAGCCTCGTGAGACCATCCTGATCTCACGAGCTTTGTTTCACTCGCAGATCAGTCTGGAGACTCTCCGTTAAAGAAAATTTGGAGCCGTTCACCAAACGAACGTCCAATCAGCGTTGGCTTTGAGGCGGGTTGAGGTGTGACGCAACGAGAAGCGTGACAGTTCAGTCTAAAGAACATGGCGGCTTCAGGCGATGAAACTAGCGTCAGCGTGGCTATCGAGCAAGTTTTATCGGAATTACAGAGTATTTCTTCACTGAAAGAAGAGCAAAACACTGCTCTGGAGGCTTTTCTCAGAGGAAAAGATGTTTTTGCTCTTCTCCCGACTGGTTTCAGCAAGAGTTTGATCTATCAATTGGCTCCTTTTCGTCTGTTAGTATGTCATATGCTTCGTTGATCTGATTGGTTTATTTGGCCCGTCTATCACCAACATAGGCCAATCAGCTAACCAGTATTTTCACCCCTTCCCAAAATTACTTCAACAAAAGGTTTCCAGATGGATATGCGGAGCAAATCCATCTGGCGGAGTCAGGTTACACAGGTGCAGCCACCATTAATATGCAATGCGGGTGAAGTTTCTTACCCAAAGACACAATGACATTGAAAGCAGGAGCTGAGGCTTGACCCAATAACCCTTCAGTGTTAGGGTAAACTCCTGCATCAGATGCCAGTGTCGCTCCATATCTATTTCTAAGCAATGAAAAATAGGCCCCACTCCATCAATATATTCACAGGTGATGATGGGAGCAGCCAGGTTTAATTTCTCTTTAGCGTGATTTTAGGGGTTGAACTAAAAAGTACTGGGCGAAAGGGAGAAAAGTGATAGAATGTAGCTTAATGATGAAAAGGGGTCCTTAAGTCCTCCAGCAGTTTAAGCCTATAGCAGCATTACTATAGAGCTAGCCTGAACCACTCTAAGTCAGAGACATGAACTCCAATGTCTGTGTTGCTAGCAAATGCATTGGTAGTTCATCTCTTATATTTTAAAAGTTTTTGAGGTGTTACCCGAAGCCCTTCTGAATATGGTTAAGAGATTCCACAGGTTTATAAGCTGAAGTGAGATCAATCAAACTAGCAGAGCCATAGACGTCACTCATGCTGCCATTTAGACATATGGCTTCTTTCTGTAGGAGGTTTAGTGTTTGTTCATGTTTTTTACAGATGGCTTCTTACACTCCTTTCAGCATAATGACGCTAAAATAAATACCCATAAATCATCTGTCTTTTCCTTTTTTTTTGTTAGCCTTTGAAGTAAATTTGGTTATTGTTCACAGTACTTCAAATCCACGTGGCAGAAATAATAGCATTAATAAAGCTTTTCTTTGCCTTCCAAGTTATTGCAAACATAAATTGTCATATAAGCTGCCATTTATTTGTTTTGTTGTTTTTGTTTTTTCAAATTAGGCATAAAAAAACAAGAAGCAGTTGTTGAATTCCCTTAGAATGAGGGCGACAGTGGCGTTGGATGTAGGAGTTTGCCCTGAAATCAAGGGGTTGACGGTTCAAGCCCCGACTCAGACTTTCAGTGTCGTTGTGTCCTTGGGCAAGACACTTCACCTGCATTGTCTACTGATGGTGGTTAGAGGGCCCGGTGGCGCCAGTGTACGGCAGCCCCGCTTCTGTCAGTGAGCCCCAGGGCAGCTGTGGCTACAATGTAGCTTGCCACCATCAGTGTGTGAGTGTGTGCGTGAATGGGTGAATGAATGTAGTGTAAAGCGCCTTGGTCAAGTCTCCTAACTTGAATAAGGGCGCTATATAAGTACATGCCATTTACCATTTAGAATTACCGGCTCAGCTGGACCTTCTTGTAGACAATGTGCACCTGTGGCATCGACTCTTACATAAAGAGTAAACATTAGAAGCGTAAAGGATGAAAAAGATTTTCTTTTATTTTAACAAACTATATCTGATCTCTACAGTGATTATATAAATGCTGAGTTAGGCTCAGTTTCTTCTTTGTTGCCCCTGCTATGGGTCGTCCCCTCCTCTTTTAAAGTGCTTCAGTGAGTTTTCATCTTGTGCCATGTGGTCCATAATAGAGCAGAAGTGTAATTTCTACACAACTCATTCCATTCTCCTTTTTTCAGGACACACTTGGTTCCAGCAACCACAAGGTCAGGCCAGAGAAAATAACCATGCTGGATGTGAAGACCCAAACACAAACAAGGCAGTGAGGGCTACAGTGTGTTGGTAAAGAATGAAGCATCCATGACGTCCATCCAAGACACTGAAACCTCTGCTGATCTCCTTAAACAATATTTTCCCTTAATTCCTTCACATAACACCCAAATTTACCCGGGATCCGTTTTTAAATAATAAAAATAAAAGTCAGACACTCCTATTATGTCCTTTTATGGAAGCCCTTAGATCTAGACATGCAAATGTGCTGCAAATACAAACAATAGATAAAACAAAAACACATGCAAAGGTTGTACAGAGACCAATTGAGAGACATTTAACTGTCCCCCAGAAATCTCGCCAAACGTGAGTTTGTCGTAAACAAACATGGTGGGCGAAGCACATGCAATGGAAATATACTGTTGGGTCAATTTATCAGAGAAGAAGACGAGAAAAAGGCATTGGGTAAAGGAAACGGTTTGAGGACATGGTACAATATATTTTTCAGGTGAAATGTCTTTTATTTGGTCTTAAAAAACATAAGTACACATTGTGTTTCAGTCTGGATCCTTTGGTTGATTACAGTTGAAATCAACAAGCATAGATTTTGTTCTATACGTTCATGTATAGTATTGCCAGTTTGTTCTGTTATTCGCAGCTAAAGAGTCGACATGGTCATTCCAAGGTCTCATATAAAACAAGGCCAGACGTGATCAGCAGTATATATGGAGCTATAAAGATACTTATACCCTCGAAAAAAAACAAAAACGAACAAAACTGCTGTTGCTGTCCTATGTGGACGCACTGTATATACTGTATATATCCCATGCATCTTTTTCTTCCTTTGGTACCTTCTTCTTCTTCCTTGACTATTTGAGCGGATGTAACGAGTATATTTCTCAACTGTGAGATCAATTGAATCAATCAATCAATCAATCAATTTCCCATTGGCTGAAAAAAACATTTTAAACCCGAGAGCAATAGGCTATTAGTGGCAGTGGGAACAGCTCACTGACATGTGTCAACACAGGTCAAACGAAACGGCAAGCAACCCTTGTTAAAATCTGATCGGCATGCTGTGATAACACCAGGTTGATCTGCTAAATTACATAACACCATTTAACACAAGACGTCAGTACACCGTGCCAGTTGCTTCTGACCTAATAAACTGAAACAATTCTTTTTACATTCGATAAACGTGGAGCAGCTCTGGTGAGAGGGATTCGGACGAATAATTGAGCAAAACAATAAAGCACACTGACTACGCTCTGGCTTCCTTACATGTTGCTCTACATTATTTACTTAAGTGACTTTTTGTTGCACTGGTGACATCATCAATGCTAACCCAGCGTGATGGCGTCACCAGACACACACAGCCACCAGAGTCCACACAGCTGCCATCGAGGGGCTACACCCAGCCATTAGGAAGGAAGCCAAATGCCGATTGTTAGCGGGTCGACCC